CGTCTACGATATCTCTCTCCCTCCCTCCTGCCCAAAAAACGACTAAACTTCCTATGCGTACGTGATATTGTATGTCAAGGTAATGGTGGTTTTCGGCACGGAAGCGCTTCAGGGGAAGAGGGAAATTTGAAATCGAAACCTAGCTAAGGTGATTCACTAATTGTAGCACTGACCATAGTTCGTTGTGCTATCAAATTTTATTGCAAAACGTCAAGGAACTTTATAGTTTAGAGAGGTTCGGTTATCAAGCCTCCCTATAGTAACCATATCATATCTCCAGAGGATAAAGTGACCAGAACTAATGTAGAGCTTTTGTGAAAGCATTCAAAATACCTATTTATGGTGTTAGTTAGAGCTGTCGGAGCTGTTGCCATGGCCTAGTATTACTAAATGATTACTCAATAGATCCCAGGGTTATTTGATTTTATTTCATTTCATTTCATTTCATTTCATTTATTTTGTTTTATCATTTAGCTTTTGTGCAATAGCGGAAATTCGTCTTAAAATACTTTTCTCCTACTACCCTTACCGGCAGATGGCATTTTCGTATGCTCTTATGTCTCAAGAATATATTGTGAACTCAGAGAACACAATTCGGTTGTCAAACTGAGAACCTTGACTAAAGTGTTTCCGTTAAGTGCCTTCACTGAATAAAGTACCTAAATACATAGCTGTGGGGCAGAATTTGCAAAGTTTTATGTGCTGTTTTTTGGTATGGAATATTGTAGAAGAACAGAGTATAGAACATTCCCTCCTCCTTTCCTGAAAGTTAATTGTCACTGCTATGTCCTTGCGTCCTTCCAAGATCTTAGACAAATAATGTCAGCTCGTGTTATCCCTTATTCAGCGAACGGGCCACTAATTCATTATCGCGGCAGCCTCAGCGATTTCACGCCTAATTTCACGCTCTTCGGAGGGCAGAGCATGATGGAAAAGCGCCAGCAGAGTGGGGGAAGCGGGACTGAGTGGTTGGATGATGAACGAGTAGTATTGGAGAATGTGAGAACGAAATGGTCCATATAGTTCAAGTTTCAAGAGCTTTTCGAGGGGTTTAAATTTCGAAAATTTTTTATTCTAATTACATTTACAGCATTATTGAAAGTGGTTCGAAATTAGCTTTCGAAGGAAGTAATTACACCTGCTTTTACTTGTCTTGATTTAATTGCTTTCTCCGAAAAGGCGTTTTGTGTCTCCTGCTGTGAATGCTCGTTCCGCAGAATACATAATACCGAGAGTCGTTTAGATTTGCGGTTGTCTAATGGTGGTCCTGGCAGGACAGTGAATGACATCTTCTCTGCAGCCGAGTACCGAAATTGGGCGGTGCCGACAGATCCATCGATGATGGGCAGGCAGTCTAGGTTGGTATTTTAGTAATGTCGGATTTTAGGTCTTGATCGTCATACGCGGTAAGGTGTTCGATTTCTGAACGCTGATCCTGAATTAGCTTTCAAACCCAAGAAATGATTTCCTAAACATGGTTGTAGGTATTTAGAATTGTGGATCTGATTTCGAACAGTCTTACCGCATTTTTTCTGAGCAGCTCCCACGTTACTCCTCTAGATTTTCGGTATTTGACTTTCTGTTGGTGGGATGACTACTCATTAAAGCAAAGCCGATTTCCATGGGCTCTTTTAGGTTGAAGATTCATTTCTTGAAGTCTTTGCCCGATTCCTCAGTGCTTCAAGGGCCGCCTAATCAGTGCTCAAGTGGTCTGTGGTATAAGAATAGTGGCTTGTACATTGGCTAGCCTTCCCTCCTCACAATGCGTCGACGACAAATAGCATCCAAATGTCGCTGAGATCCTGAGTGGAAGTGGAGTGCGTGGCGCATTCCTACGAAGGATTTCTTATCATCAAATGTTTATCCCGTGTCCTTCTATTCTTCTTAATTGGTTTGAACACAGATACGGCTTTTTGCCCATTGCGGGACGACGTTTTGGGCAATTCAATGGATCAGTGGAGTGGTACAAACCGGCTAAAATTACAACGTCCTGAGGATATTGACCCATCTCGTGATTTGGCTCTGATGTACTTGGGGGAGGGGGCATCGTATGTGATGAGCTCGAGGCATCTAACATGCCCTCTTCCAATTCTCTTAAGGACGAGGCCTGATTGTGAATGGGGACTAGGAGAATAGATGTGTAACTATGTTCATGTTCCCCAAAGTTCATCGCCTCCTCTCAAGCTCAACCCGCATAAAGATGGCCTCCTAAATACATAAGCTCGCGAAATTTTTTCCACAATAGTCTTTAAGCTGCTAATAGCTAGAGCGGTCAAAGTGGAAAGAAATTGCAATTACATGGGTACAATCGAAGCAGTGCTGCTCCTGTTAACATTGCGAGAAATACACAAAGTTTCCTCCTTTTGAAGGTGGTCACACACTTATGGTGATCCACGAGGTCCGCGATCGACTTCCTTGCCTGGGCGGAGCATAGTCGCACAGGTATCCTTTTCTAACGAAGCGCTTTTTGTGCAGTATTCTATAAATTGTTCTGTTGTTTTTCAGTCTCTAGTCGGCTCCCCAGTTCTGCCAAGACATACTGCTGCACAAGATCGTCCATCGGCCGTGCTTGATAGGTACCATGTATCGCCACTTTATGAAGCAAGGTAAAGTAACTATTGGCGAAATCCCGGGAATTTTTTTGATGTTTATTCAGATAATTATCATATTTTTATGACTTTAAGGCGGGCACCTTGACGCGGGCAGGTCAGGCAAGCAACGTAAGATAGGTTGAAACGTCAAATAGTTCAGGTATTCTTTATTGTACAGGTATTGCTTTGAAGTTATTGTAATTTCAAGTGGAGCGTCTATTATGAATTAAGGTGTTGAAAAGGCGGTGTGATCATGTTTAGTGTGCCATTCCATGAATAGACCGTACACTTTCAATAATAGGATATGTTGGTTATAGAAATAGTTTATTTGCTTTGGGAGGAGTCAGATTTTGCTAACCGTGCGGTCGGAAGTGCATCACGCGCAGTAACCATGCTACCGCGCGGTAACTCTACGATCAGCAATGGACGCATGCAGCGCAATGAAGTCACTGATTAGCACTATTTTTGCTCTTTTTATTTGTTTTTTTTTTGTTGCTTTCATTAATTTCTCTAAGTGAGCTAACTGCAGTAGTAGTGAACCTTGGACTGAACTACAACAGCTGGTAAAGTGTAGTTGAGCGAGATTCCCTGGAATAAGTGAATTACCAGTTGTTCTATTCGATTCCATTTCAGCTCTGTAAGTTCAAAATCGGCGATGCACCCAGTCATTGTTTATTGTGCCGCTTACGTATCAGCGGATGCGACACTTCCAATAGCAGTCGCGACTCGCAAAGTCTGACACCTGCCCTAATAGTGCAAGGAATTGCCGCGCGTGGATTTTCACTTTCATTTTTTTACCAGATCTCATGCAAAAATACTGTCTCACTTCCCGGTAGATAGTGATGCTGCCAGCTGACTTTCATGTTCTAATGATTACTATTTGACTTCCGTGTTTCGTTCCACTATTGGTTCTTAATGACTTCAAACAGAATAATTTGAAGAGATTTTGCTGAAGAGAATCACTAAGAGATTTTGATTAATCACTGGCAATGTTTAGGTATTAGAGGGACGGGGCTTGAAGATTCCGGAAAAGCAGAAAGCTGTCACCGAAGAAATGTATTGTGTGTTAGAAGTGGATGAGCAGCATCGGTGAGTTGATCCTTCGGAATTTAATTTTTTTTTCATTTTGTCTTATCATTGCTGATGCTTCGAAAAAATGATGACCTTACAGAGCGCGAACAGGGGTTTCGACCGCTGAACAACGTTTTCGTTGGCGCGAGACGTTTCATATCGACGTCTTTAATGCAACTGTTACTCACTTCTTCGTCTATTCGTGGCATCCGCAGTTCAGGTAACTGAAGTTGCATCGGATATGGTTTTTGATTGTAATCAGTCTCTTGGAACAATAAGTCCATTTCTTCTTCAAATTCGTGACCGTTCCATGCTTCAGTAATTGTTTGTTCAGGCATAAACTGTGTCATAAAGGCTCGCTGAAGCTGTTAGAGGCGTTCATAGTCGATCAACTGAACGGTGACCGGATGTTTGCTCTGAATCTAGAGCCTCGTGGTCAATTAATTGTTCGGATAGGATTCCACGACATGCGAGCGGTGTTTCGGCGCACAGTCAACCCAAGGATGGATGGGTATGTAAATAATTCTTGAGTTTATGAACTTGAATTTTATCTCGTCCTCTGTGAGGGGAATTGCTTTGTCATCGTGAGAGAGAGGAAGTTTCGGCATTTGCTATATTCACAATTGGTCGTTGTCCCATTTGATATAATTTTGAATAAATTTAACTTATTGGAAGCTACTCAGAGGCACAGCCGCAACCCCGGCAGAAGTCTTGTGAAGGTTCCCCTTCGGTCTGTAGGACCAGGTCCTATGAGGACAACAACAGATGGCACCTTGCGCAAGGAAACCGCCCAACAAGGGCACTAGTCTTCCGTAAGGACCGCTGCAATCGCTGTTCAGGTTTCTAATCTGCAACGCATTTTTTGTTGGCTTCTAGCATGCCTCTCATTCATAGTTACTCTCTTATCTCTGCCCTCTTGTTCCATGTTATTGCTTACTCTCTTCGTTATTTCAGCACAGCGACAGTCATATAGCATACCCTAAATTAGTTATACCAGTTTTGCTTCGCCCGCTATCGCGCGCATCACACGGCAGGCTTTAGCGAAATTGGAGGACCCATGGAATATCAGCATGAGATACTCCATTAACCATCTCACTATTGACTGTGTTAGACCCTCCACAGTTTCACTGAAGCTCATCGAGAATACGCGTGATAACGTCTGAGCTGAACTGGCATATTTATCTCACAACTGTAAACATCCAGCATTTTTCTTGAATTAAGATAATTTAGCGGTGAAAGGATTGCTGTCAGTCTCAAAATCAAAACGAAATATGCCTATTTACATAAGTGAGGAGCTAATGCTTATCATTCATTTACATTCATCATTATTTAGAACCCGAAAGGATTAGCGGTTTAATGAGTTTGGGTTTTCTTAATAGTCAGAAATGAAACTTATCATTTGCTGAAGACTTTTTTTAAATTTATGCAGTCGAATTCTATTAAGTAAGCTGGATATATATCGAAATAATGTGCACGTACCTTTGTTTGTACTACTACGACTTACTACAATTTGTAAGTAGGAACGCTCTAGTGTCAACGCTGCGTAACGGAACTAACGACTTTTGCGTTCTGGCGCGCCTTATCGGCCCTTATCAATCGTTATCAGTTTCTGGCACCCACCAACAATGTCCCCGTCCCACCCCACATAACACTTGTAAGTATGGTTGCTCTGGTGTCAAGGCGAGCCAGGCAACGGAATCGACGACTTCAGCGTTCTGGCGCGCCTTATCGGCCCTTATCAATCGTTATCAGTTTCTGGCACCCACCAACAATGTCCCCGTCCCACCCCACATAACACTTGTAAGTATGGTTGCTCTGGTGTCAACGCGAGCCAGGCAACGGAATCGACGACTTCAGCGTTCTGGCGCGCCTTATCGGCCCTTATCAATCGTTATCAGTTTCTGGCACCCACCAACAATGTCCCCGTCCCACCCCACATAACACTTGTAAGTATGGTTGCTCTGGTGTCAACGCGAGCCAGGCAACGGAATCGACGACTTCAGCGTTCTGGCGCGCCTTATCGGCCCTTATCAATCGTTATCAGTTTCTGGCACCCACCAACAATGTCCCCGTCCCACCCCACATAACACTTGTAAGTATGGTTGCTCTGGTGTCAACGCGAGCCAGGCAACGGAATCGACGACTTCAGCGTTCTGGCGCGCCTTATCGGCCCTTATCAATCGTTATCAGTTTCTGGCACCCACCAACAATGTCCCCGTCCCACCCCACATAACACTTGTAAGTATGGTTGCTCTGGTGTCAACGCGAGCCAGGCAACGGAATCGACGACTTCAGCGTTCTGGCGCGCCTTATCGGCCCTTATCAATCGTTATCAGTTTCTGGCACCCACCAACAATGTCCCCGTCCCACCCCACATAACACTTGTAAGTATGGTTGCTCTGGTGTCAAGGCGAGCCAGGCAACGGAATCGACGACTTCAGCGTTCTGGCGCGCCTTATCGGCCCTTATCAATCGTTATCAGTTTCTGGCACCCACCAACAATGTCCCCGTCCCACCCCACATAACACTTGTAAGTATGGTTGCTCTGGTGTCAACGCGAGCCAGGCAACGGAATCGACGACTTTTGCGTTCTAGCGCATCTTATCAGCCATTATCAGTTGCTATCGCTTCCAATCATGTACCACCAATGTCCCGGGACCGCCCCACATAAGACTTGTAAGTATAGACGCTCTTTACCAATATGAACGGCAAAACGAAATTGGCGATGCTCGCTTTCTAGCCCCTCTTATCAGCTATTATCAGTCGTTATCAGTTCCTATCACGTACCACTTGTGTCCCCATCCCACCCCCTATAACATATGTAAGAACCACTGCGCTATCGTTACTGTGACTCGAGCTATGAATTTCCGGTCAAACATACACACACACACACACACACACAGACACACGCTAGCCGCTTATATATAGTAGGATATTCACTAAATCTTGAGGAGGACAAAGTCCGACTAAATAATAAAATAGGTACTTTATCCCCGACTATCAGCATTGGGTGGGCGCCAACTGCGCTTGACCTACAACACGTTCTGTCCGAATAAGATGGGTGCATGTATGTATGTAATGGTCTCATTAAGCCGCCGCGGCGGAGACGATTGAGTTACTTTGCCCTTATGTAACACATTTACAATTACTGTGGGACCATATACAGTAGCGGTCAAAAGTGTTCGCCGAAACGGTTTTTCGTGCTTCTTCTTTTTTGCCAAAAAAATCAATGGTGGCCTCGAAAAAGTTTTCTTTTGAATATCCTGATTCTTCAAGACTTGAGATATAAAAACACTAGAAAACATAGAATATCAATCTTTGGAGGACGTTGCTCAAGCGAGAAAAAATGCCCAAACATCGTCCATGCGAACAAGGGTGAATATTGCTTGAGGATTCCTCAACGGCACGTCGAGGATTTTCGCCTGATCCTTTACGTTCTCGCGCGCGGATATTCACTCTCGCCACCCGCGAGCCGTCTGTGCTCTCCGCGCGTACATTCACTATCGGCTCTACTCTCGCACAGCAGAGAGCGATGGTCGAGGAATTCCTCGACCGTTTACCCTGGTGCGGACCCTTTGATCGCATACTGTATAACACAGCATTTATAACGCGCTCAGATGAACTTTTTCAATGGATTCCAGTACAGCTTCATACGATTCGCAGTATTTGATTATTACGTAGCATTTTCCAGATTGTTGGTGTACCGTCGGACCCTACGTCTGCTATCCCGTGAGCGACGAGATACACCGATTGCTCTCACACGACTCATTCAGGAGATAGAGAGACGGGGCGTTGACTGCAACGGTTTATATGTTTGTGCGTTTATTCATCATTTTTGTAGTTTTGATTACATTTTGGAATTTATTCCCTTTTTTCGTCCATAAATAATTCGCGACTTCAAATTAATTATGTCAGAGTGGTGATCAGTAGGCTATTTGTAAGGAAAGGTTAGCATGCTTAATTTACATTTCTTGCTCATTGTCTTGTATACTTAAAGGAATCTTGCGCGGAAAAATCATGATTCTATTTCAGCCATAAATCACTGGCTTGAGACTCATTATCCACGATAATAGTGAAAAGAACTGAAGTATTGCTTTCGTTTTGATTAGAAATTCGAAAACTCGAAAAGGCTGCTACGCGTTCGAATTGCCCACGGACGTCTTTCACGAATGCTGGCGACGGGGATGCTCAAACTTGGTTCTTGGAGTGCATTCACTAGAAGCTCTTTCTGGCCTTCTGCTTCGTTGCATTCACATCTTACACTTCTACTCCATCCTATTCCATCGATCGATTTGTCTCCACTCTCCGAAATCGCGCGCTTTAACCCGATTCTCTCATTGCGTCGCCTGGTACGTAGCCGGCCAAACGCCGTCTTCTTTCCATGCCTCGCCTGGCTCTGCCTCCTGGTCCTTCGATGGTCCATAACGTGTAGTTTTTGTACGTTTGTTTCTCTTCAGAAACCGAATCTTCATGCGTGAAACTTTGTGTGCTATTTCCAGTGATCACAACTGACATATTCATGTTAGGAAAGAGTGCAAGAATTTTCCGCGCAAGATTCCTTTAAGTTAGGTGTGCGGACCCCTCTTAAATTATGCTTTATGTATTACGCTCTATCGTTATCGTTAGCGTACTCCATAGCAAAGTTGTTAGCAGCCTTCTAACAACTTAGTCAGAAGAAATGCCCGCTTTGAAGTGAAACATGATGACAGTTTAAATATTTATTTTGCACCATAAGGAGGGAATGGCTAGAAGATTGTTGGATGTGCGTGGCGGCACCCTTTTGGGAATGCGGACCGGCCCTTTTCCAGTGACTCCTTCAGATGTTGTGATGTGTTTTGAAACGCTAATTAGATGTCCACTGGTCGATAGCAAATGCAGTTACCCTTAAATGATGCTTAGGGATCAATTGGGGCGCGGAGATCTATTCGTCCTGCTTTGAAGCTCGGCTTTTTGAAGTTTAGCTTTTCCATATCGAAATGTTCAATTATCAATACTGAAATGGTACAATTATAATTTTTATATGAAAAAATTCTTTGATAAAAATAAAAAATGCTCATGGCAGACGAAGCGTGTACCGAGCTGGGTAGAACTAATGTTTAAAAAAATCCTGATAAGGTTCCAAGACAGTCGTAAAGCTACGAAAAATAGTGAGGGTAGCAACACAAGGGAGGTCAAATGTAGCGGAGCGTACGGCTGGAATCAAAAATTCCGCGTGCACCGTCCAGACGCTCAAGCTTGAGTGATGCACGCGTTTCGTGTGGAGCTAGATCGGTTCGCAAGAAATGTTTGACACGATGGATCAGATTTGCGACAAACAAGGTTCTCTTCATCAGTTAGCGCAGGACGGTCGGACGGTGCGGTCAGACATACCCTCTGTTTCGGAAAACGAGAAGAGTGTCGAGTGAAGACCGTGCACCACAAGTGACGACGGTCGAGAAAATTTTGGCTTTTTCTT